AGGTTGGCTTTTCCATTTAAAAATGTGTTTCTTGATGGTCAAAGTTGAATTCCCCCACATGGACAATTGTTTCACAAAAATCAGAGGATGTTTTTGATGTTTAAACAACTACATGCCTGAATTTTTAGATTAAAGACAAAAGAACAAAGTTGAAAAATCTCAGCAAACTTTCAGATAAACTTCAAAGGGAGATTATTAGGGAATGACTAGTTTGTGAGCCAAATATTTACAAAGATGACAGATCGCTTACTTTAAAGGCAGGGAGAAGTGATTGCAGCTAGTGTCTAAAATAAATCCAAGGAGGCTATACGTGAATCCTGAATTTCAGTCAGTTTTCTCCTCCCTCTGAATTAATTGGTTCTTGGTTTTGCATAGATCTGCTGCAGCCTGACTGTTCTCACTCGGAGGTGTAATAAACACATCCTGTGGTCAGCTTTCACTCACTGCAAAAAAAGAGTTATTTAAAATTTGGAAATAAGGCAGAAAGTTAGGCTGCATATTGAAGGATTATTTAATTTCCCAGGAGAATGTATCTGTGTTTGATCTTGCTATGTATTATTTGATTACAGCCCAGATACTGTGGAGTTACACATTAATTTGTATTTTTCTATCTGGCAGGAAAGATAACCCCATAGCTTGTGATTTTATTAGCCTGCAGGACATCAACCAGTTTCTTCTGTAGCCTAGCAATCTTATCCTAACATTCTTTCTTGTTTTGAAAATACTGGTGAGTCGCATAAACTCTTTTTCCTTAAATGCTCTCGGAATCAGCTTTACCATCTAATGCTTCCATTATAAATTAATGAGCTGAATAAAACCCGTGACACATGTCTGTTCTCTGTTTGAACGAGAGCCATGATTTTACCACTTTAACAATGAGACTTAGTTGATAGATCTCGGATGGTACTTTGTCACCCCTTCTTCTGTGACTGTGTGTGTTGCCTGCTGTTGGGTCACCTCTAACTCTAGGTGACTCCGTGAGTGACGTCCACAGTGTCCTGTCCTCCACAGCCCTGCTCAGCCCTTGTAGACTCGTGCCCACGGCTTCTTTTATGGCGTCCGTCCCTTTCCTGGTTGGCCTTCCTCTTCTCCTGCTGCCTTCTCTTTTCCCAGCGTTATTGTCTTTTCCGAAGAGCCCCGCGGTGTGTGCCTGCAGTGGGACAGCTTCAGTCCTGTTGATTACTTACCCTCTTTTGCAGAAGAGTCACCTGGGGTGCCCATTCAGGATTCAGATCCCCCAGCCTACCCCTCAGGAAGTCTAAAGCCCTGAGCTTGGCATGAGGCCTAATGACACACGTCTCAACAGGCAGCCCAGGAGATCCTGAGGCTGTGGTGCTCCGACCAGACACCTTGGGAAAGCCCCACAGTGAACTGCCTGGGGGTGCCGGTCCCGATGCCGATTTGGTTCTCACTGCTCAGCCTGGTCAGAGGCGGAGGGGGTTAAACGTTGATGCCTTGGGATGGACTGCAGTCCAGCAGTCCATTTTCCTAAACTCCCTTTTGGCAAAAGCAGTTGATCTCATATGTTCACCCACTGACTGGCTGTGAAAGAACTGGGATGGGGAGAGGGGCACCCAGGAATCTGTGTACACAGGTTGGAATTGCTGATAGTCAGCTCTTTCTGATATTACAAAAATGGCAATTTTGTATGGGTTGACTTAATAATTCCTTGGGTGTTTCCCATGTGAAGCTAATTTGGCAGTCAACTTGTGACTGACAATGGGGACATGGAATTTCCAGTGTCTGGGGAAAGTGTCTTACGGCTTCTATCAGATTTAAAGCAAAAACAAACAAACAAACAAACAAACAAACAAACAAACAAACAAACAAACAAACAAACAAACAAACCCAAGATGCTCTTCCCAGAAAAATGCTCAAAATACAACTTTCGTACACAATCTCAGGAAGTTTTATGGATTCAAAAGGCCAAGGACTCCCGTTAACCCTGTTTTTCACATTTCTTTCTGAGGGCTGCATCCTTTAGAGATGGAGCTTTGCTGCCCCCTAGTGCCACGTGGTTCTCAGACTGGGTGGGTCCCCTTCGCACCTGTCTTCCACTTTCGAGTGTTGCAGGAGCTGGAACCGGCTGTCATCTCACGCCCACTGATAGAGTGGCCCTGTTCTAGGCAGGAATGGGCACCACAGGTGTGCTCTTTTCTCATTCACTCTTTATATTGAACTTCTGGTAGTACCGGGTGCAGGGAAATGCCATGCTTTGACGGAATGCCCTGCCTTGTCTGGTCCAGAGCACACCCTTCGGGGGGATCAGATTCTGATGCTGAGGGAGCCCCTTCGCAGCTCTGTCCTGTGGGTAACTGAGAGAGAAGCAAAATAATTCTTGTTTCCACACATCTTGATTTCTCTCCCCTACCGAGAAAGAAGCTAAGTCTTGCCTCCATTTGGACATTTATTTAAATATTCCTGGTTGGTGTGTCTGCTTTGGGCTCTCTTTGAATGGGTTATAATATCTGCCTGGTTTCTTCAGTAAGCATTAATAAAATCTTTCGTTTTTAATTTATTGAAGCTTGACAGTCCAGAATGATTTTTTAAAAAATTTATTTATTTTAGAGAGACAGGAAGGGAGGGAGAAAGAGAGGGAGAGAAACATCAATGTGTGAGAGACACATTGGTTGCCTCTTACATGTCCCCAGTTGGGGACCTGGCCTGCAACCCAGGCCTGTGCCCTGACCGGGAACTGAACTGGTGACCTTTCAGTCCATAGGCTGGCGCTCAATCCACTGAGCCACACCAGCCAGGGCAGAGTTAATAAAATCTTTAATACCTGCTCATTTGATATTTGTATAAAAACCATAATTTGACTCTTTTTTTAGAAAATTATTCTTTAACAAAGGCCAGGATCACATTAGGCATCTGTGATTGCCATCTGGGATATGAACAAGCGGGCCCTTTCCTTGAAAGCTCACAGTCCAGTTGAGGAGGCACTCAAGGTTGCAAGTAACTCTCTGAGATTTGAAGAAATCCACCCCTCTTCTCTCTTCCACCTTTCCCCCACCTCACCCCACCGTTTATTCAAACAGGGAGCACACTACCTTGGCATCACCTCAGGGGAGGTACACCAGCAAAACACAAAACAGAGTCAAACAAAAAGCAAAGGGGTTTGTAAATCTTTCTAGATTTTGTTTTCCTGAAGCTGGAAGAATTGAGGGGAGCAGTGGAGGGGCGGAGACCCACATGCGGGAGAAACGGGGGAGAGGGGCTGTCCCTTCAGTAAAGCACCAATGTCACTGCTTCCGGAGAGGCAGGGGCCATAGGGCCAGGGAACAGCAGAGCGCATCGGATGTGTGGCGGAGGCAAGGGCTTCATAAACCTGTTGTTGCCCTTGAACCAGCATACATATTATTTATTCCTATCTATCTACCTACCTATCTATCTATCTTTCTATCATCTATCTATCTATGTATCTATCTATCACTGTAGGTAGTGGGCCAAAAAAAAAAATTGCAAAACACTGACCCTAAAGGCATTTAAAAAGAGCCAAATTCAGCTCCTTAGTCTAGTTGTGTTCAGAAAACCTTTCTTTCCCTTTCCTCTGAAACAATGTCTCCAAAGGACTATCCCATTAGGTTTGGAGTACATTTTACTTTCAGGTTCCCAACTATTCCAAAGGGAATGACAGTTACCTTCTTTAAGGACCCTTAAGGGGGCTTGGTCTACTTTATCTAGACACCTCAAGTGCCGTGGCCAGCTGGGGGAAAGGAACCTGGGGTTGAGACAGATTAAGACCGAGGCCAGACCCCCTCAGACAGCAGCCCCCCTCCCCCATCCTCTTGCCGTCTTTCTCTCTCCCCCTCAGCCAATCAGGATACAGCAGGATGGGAAGGATCATTTTTTCAGGACTTGGGGATCTGCTTTTTAGTGTGGTTTTATTATTAAGCCTTCAGGAGCATAAATTCTGTGAAGATTAGACTCCCCGACTCACATTTATATTAAAAACGTGCAAATCCCTAGCCAGACCAAGCCCCAAATTTGTGATTATGCATCATCTCCCGACAAGGCTGCACTTGTTACTTTATGAGGTAATCCTGTCCCTGCTGGTCCCTGTACAAAGGTTAATTTTTTAAAAAGATTTATTTATTTATTTACTTTTAGAGAGAGAGAGGGGAAGGGAAAAAGAGAGGGAGAGAAACATCGATGTGTGAGAGATACATTGATCGGTTTGCCTCTCTCACGCCCCCAGCTGGGGACCTGGCCCAAAACCCAGGCATGGGCCCTGACTGGGAATTGAACCAGCGACCTTTTGGTTTGCCGGCCGGTACTCAACCCACTGAGCCAGGGCTGTACAAAGGTTAGGTAATTTAAAAAATGTGACAAAAAAAAAGTGTCAGCCGTGTAACAGACATTCACAAGAATGAATCAGAAGTGTCAAGAAGCTACCCTAAAATAGAGGTGGAATGTTTTTAAAAAGTTATGGCTTATTCTGGGATGAATACTAGTATTTCACTTTTGAAACTTTAATTGAAAAAGTTAAGGTGGAGTTTTGTAAAGCATTTACACGTCTTACCAGCGCCTCCACCCCATTTGGGGAGACAGTCTCTTGAGAAGAGACAGGCTTTGGCGCATAGAAAGCGTAGGAACGGTTTTGACTGCCCCACAATGGAGGTAGCCATCCCGTAACAACTCACCTGGGGCGGTGGCTGAGGGGAGGCAGCCACGCCTGAGCTGGGGAACCCAGGCTTTCATTTATTAGTTGGAAGTAAGTTCATGCTGCTGTCTGTTGCTTGGTTTCACACTTTCTATTTACCTGTATGGGGGTCCACTCTCTCTTGCGGCCTCATTTTGTTTTGCAAAATGCATTCTTAGTGGCCCCAGGGCAGGAACCACAGCTCAGACCAAGGACGAGAATGAGTCCCCATTTACTGTTCCTTGAAGGAGCTAGATATTAATTTTGTTTATTTCAAGTGAAAACGAGTGCCTGGAACCGTACTTCCCTCCCACTACAGAGTTACAGTCCCTGAAATAGAACAAAGATAAAGCAAAAATCAAAGCAGTCTAGTTATTTTATTAAAAATATCTGGAAAATCGCTTATTTTCAATATATACATATTTCATTTTGATTCAGAGCACTTTCCGGGTAGAGATATGAGTGCATTATACAGGCTGGGAAGAGTATCAACAATAAACAGGAGGAATAAGGCGTGTCAGTCGAGCACTTGTTTTCTTTTCATTAATATTCTGTGAGGTGCCACTCAAGGAACAGCTTTGCAACCAATGTCCTTGCAGCCACTACTAAGATGTGACCTGAAGCAAAACCTCCGTGTGCCTGTGAGACACATGTGATTCCACATTCATAACTTGGGTTTAGAAAGGGCAGGTCACAGAGCCATGAAACGGAGTGCGGAGACCCTGCTTCGCCCCAGCGGCCCACCCTGCAGCTTGCTCGGTGCAGGGCCCTGATGGAGACAGCCAGAGGCTAAGCCACGGGCCTGCAGGACTGGGCGGGGCTTGTTTTCTGTGGGGGCCGTGGGGGGAGCCAGCAGTGGGGGTGCCGTGGTCAATCTGGGTAATTCCTTGAAGCTCCCCGGCCCTTCCACACAACCTGCTCTTACATAGAAGACTGCTTTTCAGTCTGTCTGTGTGTGTGTGTGTGTGCGCGCGCGCGCGCGCGCGTGCACCCAGTGTCCCCCTCCTCCCACACGGCCCCCGCACTCCCTTTCACAACACACACTGCTTTCAGAGTCCAGATGGGCTGCGAAAACCGCTCACAAATGCTGTGGTGATAAGTTCTGAGCAACGGCAGGTTTTTTGGTAAAACTCCTTCACCACATGCTTTGATCTTCCAAGTCAGATTTCACTCCATAGCTTGTCACAGTTATAAAATTGTAAGAGGCTCCCTGGATTCATGAAAGTGTCTTTCTTAATAGGTCCACACATTACTACCCATTACTTAGCAACATCTACATTTCAAACTTGAGCCCCTATGTTGCAGGTAAATGGACACAAAGACAAAAAGAGCTGATTTGCCCATGTTCAGTCAGGAGCAAAACCTGGACCCCAGCTCCCGATTTGATGGTTTGTGTGCTGAATTACACAGCCTCTTTGGTCCTCTGGGAGCACAATCCTGGAACCTTCTACAAGCCAAACGGAGCCCAAATACATTCTCACCACAGAAATCGGACAGTTTATCAAGCATGAAAAGGACATTAGAATATTGTGCACAACTGATGATGGCTTTCAGATAAATCCATTACAAAACACAGCCTTTCGGGCAAAATAAATAAGATGAAAACTCAGCATAACAGATTTACAAGTTTAAAACGAGCTTTAAGTGTGGACTAGTTCCCACCTACACGCATACATCACATTTCCGCAGGGCATGACAGTTCCCCCGAGACTGTTCAACCACCTTAGCTGTGAGATTTTTGTTGAAGAGAGATACCAGGCTGCAAGAAGTGGCAGTAAAAGGAACATCCGTCAGATGACACGGCAAACGTAACAAAATGTTGTTTGCAGGTTCTAGGTGACGGATGTTCCCCGTACAATTCTTTCAATATTTCTACATGTTTGAAAAATGTCATAGTAAAGTGCTATGGGGGAGAGCAAGGGAGATAACATCTATGCCTTCCAACGGAAAACCGACATGACACACTGTCAAGAATTGGTCAGCTGTAACCGGTATTCTCACCAAATGTTCATTACTAAACGAACATCTGGGTGGAATTGGAGGCAAGCCAAGAGAAGAGCAGCAGTAACTGAACAAGGGAAAGTTACTTCAGAGTCCTAAGTTAGGGAAATCTCAGATAGTTAAAAAGGTTCTGGTCATGAGGGATGAGAGGATTCTCTGGATAAAGGAATGACGAGCAACTGCTCCTCCCGGAGAATGTATCCTAACTGAGTGCAGAGTCCACGCACATGCTCTGACTTGTTAAACTCACTGGCACAAACGGTCATGGAGGACAGTTTTAAAATTTTATGCCTACCACAAAACCAATTGCTAGAGATCGTCCAGTATCTCCAGATTAGTCCATCATTAAGGGGAAAATAATCTCACCTTTCATTTCATTTCACTGTTTTTCTACTTGTAGTCTTCAAAACAAAAGTTGTATCATATTATAGCAGCGATTTTCCACTTTTTCCATCTCAGGGCACACATAGTCTAATCACTGAAGTTCTGTGGCCACCAAAAACCGTATATATATAGCCGATTTAACAAAAAAGTAGATATAATTTTGATTCATTCACACTGGATGGCTATTGTGCTGGCTGTTGTCATATTTTTATGACAGTCTAAGGGAAAAAAGGTCAGTGCCCCTGACTAAACAGTCAGGTGTTGCATGGGTTAAAAATTCCCGTGGCACGACGTTGGAAACCGCCGTGCTACAGAACAGCCAGAAACCGTAACTGCCCCACAGCCAAAGGACAGTGGAAAACTCCCGAACTACAAAATCAACATCCTGACTTGGTCTCTGATAGAAAAATGTATCTTGAGGCAAGTTTCATTCAACACTGGGTTGGATATGTCTGGGAAGCAAGGAAACAATTTATTTTCAAGTTAGCAATGTCCATGAATGGTGTCAAAAGATTAAGTATGTTAAAAGGTTGATAAAGCATCAACACGTGGTCCAAATACTTGTAATCCAACTGAGCTAGTTTCAGAGAGCCTGGCGGGAGATTGGAGAGACAGACCAGCTTTCCAGGAAAGACCTGATTCTGAGTGGAAGTCGTAACAAATGTTTCTATTTGCAATGACCGTCTGGCTTACTTTTACCGGCTATTGACAATGAATGAGTAGTATAAAGTAAGTGCTGGTTTATTACAAAATGCCAAATGTTGAGGGTTAAAAAAATTGCTTATTAAGATGAGACCCAGATGACAGACACTAAATTGAAGTGAAGTGTTATGTCAGCAAAAAATAAAGCCATTTTCTACTGGCTAAATCCTTTTGTAAGTACTGTCGACATGCTGCTAGTAAGAACTTAATTTCTTAGAGCAGAATTTTATGGTGGGAGTGGACCTTAGAAACAGCTAATCTAACCGCTTATCTTACAAATAGGAAACCTGAAGCTACACAAAAAAACTGTTATTGTTTAGATTAACATTCCTGAGTAGGGAAAACAAAAACAAAAAACAAAAACCAAGCAGGAAATGACTCCTCAGTACCTAATCCACAGCCACGCTTTTAATAGAAATTTAACCAGACCAGGGAGCTTTTAAATATCATTTCCTTTTTTGATGGGGTTGCATGTTTTGTGGCAACACTTAATTTTTTGCTCTGATAAAAGTACATTTTTTAAAAATAGAAAATGTAAAGCCTACAAGAAAGCACAAAGAAAATAAGTCATCAAAAATAGTGTATTTCCTTCCGGCTTTCTTCTGGGCAACAAAAATAACTACCGCTCACTGTGTAAATGGAACGAACTGGAAAACTTGCTTCACGGACACACGCTCTCCCGGACAGCGGAGGGGCAGCTGCTGTGGTGCTTCTCAGGGGCTGGCCGGAGAGCAGGGCAGCTGCGGGGCAGAAACTGCCCGCTAGTCCCTGGGTGGTGCAGACAGGGGAACCGGGGACTCTGTGGGACCTTTTCACTTCAAAGAGAAACCCACCAGAGCAGGGGCCTAAACTGTGGTGGATGGGGAAGGAGGGCGGAGAGGTAAGTAAAGGGAAAGGTCAAAGTGACCTTTCCAGGCTGGGTCTGCCTGGAACTGAAACCATTCTTCTCCACAAAGTCTCTTGGCTTCCTCTTAATATTAAGGCTGATCTTTTCTTTCTAAAAACTTGTATTAAATTGATCAGGGTGACATTTATGAATAAAATTATATAGTTTTTAAATGCACATTTCTATGATTCATAATGTGTATACTGCATCGTGCGCCCACCACCTGAAGTCAAGTCATCTTCCGTCACCACATGTTTGGCCCCCTTAACTGCTCCCTCGGCCCCTCATTGCCTCTGGAACCCACCACACTGTTGTCTGTGTCTGTGAGTTTGTTTTATATCCTGCATATGAGTGAAACCACATGGTTCTTCGAGTTTTCTGAGGCTGATCTTTAACCCTGGCCAGGGAGTTAGGATCTGGCTTCTCTGGAGACACAGTACCATCTCTCATGACCGCACAACTTTGAACCACCTTGTGTATGGGTCCTCTTAGATTTTTTAAAAAATTTATTACCCACTACATAACACACTTCATGCTACGTTACACACTGCATGACCTTCTAGCAGGGGTAGATGAGCATAACTGAGTTATTTTTCATCAATCAGGAAAACGCTTCCTCAATCAGTATTTTCTAAACCCTCTGACACACAGCAATGATCAAGTCCAGGGACAAGCCCGTCTCTCTCCAGCCAAGTCCACTGCCGCGCATCACAGGCAGCCCGTTTCCTCGCCCCGTCGGTGACCCTGTGGAGAGCAGCAGCTCCGAGGATGGGGAAGCACGTGCCCATGACGGAGACAGATCCCTGGGACTATCTCGAACCACACCGTGGCAAGGTTGCCAAAGCCCTTAGATTCTTGGTAAGAGTCCATACTAGTTGGGGGCACCCTGAGAACTAGATTTCACCGTAACATTTAATGCCTATGGGCCTTTAACAAATATGTAATGGCACAGAAACCATCTCTCCCTATTAGGAACATTTAGTCACTTCAATACATTCTACATGATCCTTCTCGGGTATGAACTGCTGAACTAAAGCAACTGCTCAAGCTAAGTCCTGATATAACCACTGTGACTTCCGACCCTAGTCTGGTGACCCTCAGGCACCGCCCTTGATCTCCCAGGTATTAAGGAATTTTGCTTTTAGAAAATCAATTTTGTTCCACTAAACTGAATGAAACCAGAGAGTGTTCAAAGGAGCTGACAATTTGTAGCTCAAATTAGAGGGTTAGTTGAGCCCCTTTAATTTTTATGTTGGTAATTATACACATGCATCTCCGTGTCCTACAAGTATTAAGCATCAGAGAACATAAGCAGGGCTGTGGGGTTCAGGCTGCACTGAACAGACAAAAAGGGGTTTACACAGCAGCATGACACTGGGCAGTAGGTGCCCATGAGTGTCCACATTCTAAACTTTGAAGATGCTACTTTGTAGCCTCAAAGAAATACGTAAGCAAGGTAGAATGAAACACCTGAACAAGAATTATTCAACAGACATGTTCACACTGAGTAAGGTTGTTAGGCTCTAAACTAGTCCCTGAGTACCCTTAGTAACAAAACACCCTAGGGGCAGGGAAATGGGGTGAATGAGAACTTAAGCTTTCCAAGGATTAAGGCTCAAATCCTTTGAATGTGAGGTCAAATAAAATGAGAACTCAACTTTATAGTGGTAATTCTTCTTGCTGGCAACAGCACGAGGCGGTAGTGATTCTCAAGTTTAATATATTACATATATACTATAAAAATAAGCTGGAGTTATAAGGAACATTATTTTGAATGGTTTAAGCTCTGCTACTCTAACCCTGGGCTTCTGACAGAACATTCTGGAGCAAAAGCCCATGAATCCACAACGAAGAGGCACACTGACAAATAGGTGCTGCAATATGCCACAGGCACTTCGGTTTTAACAATTTGAAAAAGCATGGAACACGTAGATTGCAGAGGAAAAACTGCTGTAGGTATTTATGACGGAAAAAGCGGCAAGCGACCCGGCTCAAAACACTCACTGGCGCGTATGCCGTCTTTCCCACTGTCTGTCTGTTTGCTTACACATTGTTATCGAGAGCAGGGCTAGGAAAGGCACTGCTTTCTCCAGAAAGGCTTTTAAAAAACAAAAAGCAAACGAGGGGATGCTATACCCCTGCATCACTACTCCGTGGCTGAAAGCCCTCCCTCCGAAGACTACCCATGTCGAAACGAGTGGTGACCTCACAGCGTACCAATAAAGTATCGTCCTTGATGAAGGTTCTTTGTCTTAGGGCTTCCAGATGCATAAAAGTCACATAGCCAAAACCTTTTGGGTTCCGTGGGATTGTGGGCCTCTGGAAGGCAAGCAGCTCTGGTTTGGCATCCATTATCTCCTCATGGTTCTGCCTTACCGGTGCTTCAGACTGATCGAGAATTGTAAGGCGTATTGTACCCTGGAAGGGCCAGGGCAGGTGGCTGTCATACTCTCCCTGCATTGTGTGGACGAAGAGGGATATGTAGTTCGCACAGCGCTGAGCCGTTGGTAACTGAAGGTGCAGGCGCATGCAGAGTTTGTACCCAGGTTTGCCTGTGTAGAATCCAGGGCTATGAATGACAACAGGTTTCTCCTCCTCTTGAGATTTCAAGTGCATCCCAAAGTTTCCAATCTTCCAGATGTAAATCCCATTGCACTGCTGTGCTTCTATTTCAGCAACTTTGTCCTCAAGGGTTCGAATAGTTCGTTTGAGCTCACTGACATGCATGCTCTGAGTTTCCATTTTTGCAGTCAGCTCCCGGATTTGATGATCTTGTCTTACAAGGCGACTCTCCAATTGTTGAATGGTTTCTTGGAAATTCTGGACCTCTGGGTGACACCCAGAGGAGGCTCGGGGCAGAGAGGAAGACTCATACAGCAGGACGTCACGCTGAGGCCGGGGAGCCATGGCGAGGTTTAAACTCTGAACAGCCTGGGCCAACATTCTCATGTGTGACTGAGTATCCTCTTGTAGGTGGCGCGCCAAGAGAATCCTCTGCATCTGAAAACCAAGCACAAGCTTTAGGCTGGGAATAGGTACTATGAGGACGAGAAAAGGGCCCTAGCCAAGCCAAACGAAAGGTTTTTGAGTAGTGTCACCATTTCCCTCCATCCCCTACAACCCTGTCTCCACCAGATTCTGGATCCAAAGAGATGGTCTTGTCTCTTGCTGAAAAGCTGAGGCTGTCTGTTGAATACGCTCCCCTTTCATTCAGATAAACCTCCCTCCCACTTACAAATGTATCAGGATCCGCACCCATCCTTTTCTTCTGACTCAGAGACGACTCTCTTCTTGTCCAAGGTTAATGCTTCACCTGGGCTCTTCAATGGCACCCACCCCTTTCAACACCTCAGAGGTGCTGCTCAGTTACTCCCATCCTTCTTTATCTTCAAACACTCTCTCCCCCTAACACTTTCCCTCAGAATGTAATTATCTTTCCTGTCTTCGTACTCTTCACAGGTCATCAAGAACACTGTAATTACTGTATTAAAAATATATTTTTTAAAAATTCATTTTTATTTTTAATTTTAGAGAAAAGGGGAGGGAGGGAGAAATACAACTGTTCAGAGAAACATCGATTGGTTATCTCTCGCACGCCCTCAACTCAAGAGCTGGCCCACAACCCAGGCATTGGCCCTGACTGGGAATCGAACTGGTGACCTTTCAGTTCGTAGGCTGGAGCTCAGTCCCCTGAGCCACACCAGCCAGGGCTAAAAAAAATATCCTTGATATAACAATTTTTATTATAAGAATAATTTATGTACATTATAAAAATAAAAACATAGATGATCAAAAATAAAATAAGTTACCTATTATCTCAATTATTGTTCACATTTTGATATATTTCCTTGCTCCTTCTATTTTATAAAATTATTAAATGCATGCTTATTGTATTAAAGTTGGATAAAAACATAATGGAAAAGTAAAAGTATAACTGTACTCTCCAGAAAGAACGACTTTTCATAAATAATGATCTATCTGAGACATCTGACACAAGGGACCACTAGCCTTGAAACTAATTTTGGGGACTCTAACAACACCTGCTCCTGGCCTGGTTCACCAGCTTCGAAGACTGGCCACCACAGCTCATCTCCTGGCCGACCTTTCTTCCTTGTGCACACACACTCCGTGTGACCTCAGTCCCACACCTGCCATCCATTGTCACCTACTTCCCCAAATCAATGTTCTGAGCTGCAATTTCTCTTTGGAGCCTAACACTACATACAATGCACGTCAGCCCCTCCATTCCCACTGGTATTCTCCACTGCACTATCTAACTGAATTTTCTTTATCTATACTCAAGAATGAAAAGAAAAATAAAGAAACACCTTACCTTTTCCTGGCAACCGAAGGTACTGAATGTGCATGGAATTGGGGCTGTGGGACAGTCTAGATCAAAATGATTAGGCATCTGAAAACCAGAACAAAGGTTGAAAAATGCTTTTCTCTGCGGATCATGTTCTAGTTCGATGAGCTCACACTTGAAATAAAGGCTTATGTTTCACTGAAACACAATCCTGTATCATCTATGGCAGCATCACAACAGCAGAGTCCGATAGTTGCAACAGACACCAGGTAGCCCAAAAAGATTAAAAAAAAAAACAAAACAACAAACTTCCAAAAGTCGGAAAGAAAGGAAATATCAGTATTTCATATTATCTCCAAAATCACTCAAAATTTATTTCAAGAGTATGAATTTGTTCCTATGGCTGGAAACTGGAACCCTCTAGTGGCATTTTGAAGAAAAAGCACCTTCCGATGTCGACCTCACCTGCAAACCTAACCAGGACTCTCACTGTGTGGACTGTCCAGGCCAGTTCATAGATGCCCGTCAACTGTATACATTATGGACAACTGTATACATTACAGCCACAGACCACACCCAGCACCTCCCTTGTGACCACCTTTCACAAACCTCTTTGGCTTTTGTTAACCTGGGCGTGTTTTGGCTATAATGGGGAGAGGCTCAGATGTTAGAAGGCATTTTAATCACATTAATAAAAGTTCTAAAGAAATGTCTCAGCTTTTGATATGGGGACTGTAAAAGTCTTTAAGGTAAGATCCACTATAGAGAAACATATTCTTTGGAACTATCAAATTTCCTTTAGAAATTTAGGTTAGCTGTAGTCATAGATGTTTTAAGCAGAAACATTTGAGGCCATTTAACCCAATCCTTCAGCTTTGCATAATCTAGAACAAGGGTCAGCAGGTTTTTTTGTGAAGGGTCAGACAGTAAGTACTCTCAGCTCTGCAGGCCCTACGGTCCCTGTCCCGGGGACTCAACTCTCCACTGCGGTCGAAAACCAGCCGTGTATGACAGACAGACAGACAGACTCACGGGCACGGCGCCACTCCAATACAACTATTTATAACAGCAGACGTGAGCCAGACTGGGCTGGCAGGCTGCTGTGCTGATCCCTTATCTAGAATGTCCACTCTCTCGCCAGAGATCAAGTGGGCAAGCCATTGGCACAACCAGGGCGCAAACCTAGGTTTTCTGACTCTGAACCTAGGATTTTTTCCTATATTAAGCTTTATTTTTACTGGGTTTTAGGTGTGCTGCATGGTTTCCTTTAAATAGTACAACAGAGCAAAAAGAAAAACCAGGGAGGTGAGACTTCATAAGCAAAAAAAGTTTAACACCTTCAAATGAAGGCTTTTTTGGAAAAAAAAAAAAAAAACAACACCCCAAAACTATAGGACTCTGTTAAGACTGATGGAAAAGTTTAGTCGAGTGACAGGTTTCACATACCTCTAGCTAGTAAGGTAATCAATGATGATCTCTGGGTTTGCAGATTTCACGGGTGTATAAATAGTGACTAATATTCAAATCTTGTGGGCAAATCCCCCAAATGTCAGGAGAGAGCAATCAAACTGTTTTCCTGCCTCTAATAATAACGTGAATGCAGTCTTCTGCTGTACTTGCTGCTGCCCGTCCGTGGCCCCCAGGACCGCTGGACGGAGGGCCTCGGGTCCTGGATGGCTCTGCTCCGCCCAGCATGTCTCGGGCCGTGGGGACACACATGGCCCTGCTGCTGAGCAGACTGTCCTCTCCCTGTCCTTTCAGCCACTCTCCGGACACCCAAGATCCCGCTTTCACAGCATGTAAATATGTGTTCCTTAAGGCGTTCTTTCCTTTAACTGGGGGTTTTGATTATTTGTATCCTAAAAATACCTGGTTTTGTCTAGAAATTTTACACATATACATAACCATGGGTATTAAGTTAATGACTTTGAACACTTAGAGAGGGCTAAGTATTTTGTTCTTTCTGAAAGTATTCATTACTCTTCATTTATATGATCCATGTTCACATAGTCCTAACACTTTTTCACCCTGTCTTCCGTCTGCCCTATCGATTTAATTAAAAACCTAACTCACTTCTTTAATCCATTAATGGAAATACTAGTTCACGAAAGAGAATCGTCATACCTGTTCTCTGATGAGCATGGTGTTGCAGTATTCACAGACGACATTGGCCAAAGGGCAGTTCTGGTCATGGAGCTGAATTTTATTAGAGAAATAAAAGAGAAGCATGAGAAAATCTGAAAAAGTAAAAAGAACCTATTTTTATAAAAGTCAATTTTTCACTATAAACAAATTGAGGACATCAGTGTGTATATAAAAAAAGTGAGAATAATATATAAAAGGTATTTTCTCTCCCTTTGCCAATATAGTAATCAGATACATCTCGTGTTTCAGCTCTTTAGAAGAATATAGCAATACATAAAAGAACTTTCTAAACCGCTTCTTTTAACCTGAGGCAGAACCCTGTGACTAGTTGAGGACATCATTTACCAACACCATCCTTCTCCACAGGCATTCCTCCAAAAATCCCCAGCAACATCATGGTGATTTAAATGAAACTCTTAGCAGGAAGGTTAAAGAACAGAAGCAGTATTAGGACAGGAGGCTCTGGTGCCCAGGTTCTCATAGGCCCGGAAGGGTAAACCTTGTTTTCTAAAATACAATGAATTTAAGAAATAATGAACCCTTCAGGTTAAGTCCATTTACTTTACTTAAGTTCAGGAAGACATCGAATTGTTCTAACTATGCCCCAGATTTCTCCCCATTTATAGTGAGTTAGCTGACTTGTTTTGAATATTTCATCAGATTCATGAGTATGATATGCTCGATTTCTTAAGAAAGTAAGAAAAATTACCAAAATAAACTTGCAAGAAATAAAATTTAAGGAAGTATCTTAATAGCTATAAATGAATATAAGTTATCTGTAGGTTGTTTTAGTGAAAAGGACAGGGAATGGGTATCTGGAGCTAGGATCTCAGTGCTGGCATTACCATTACAACAAGAACATAAAATTGCTTATATTTATACAACTCATAAAGTTACTGAACTCGCTCACATCTCAGTTCCTGAGTGAAAAAACCACTCTGTCAGCATGACGCTGTCCAGTGCTAGGAAGTGTCTGCTTAAAGGTAAATGTTCTAATTGACGTATAACATACAGAAAAGTGTACAAAGCCCAGTGAATTAGCACCAAAAAACCACATGCTGTGGGATTTAATTTATTCTCCCTGAAGGTTTTAATGACCTAGTCTCTGTTTCAGAGAGCAGAGCACACGTCCGATACAGTAATCATCCTGCTTGTTTGTCTCGAATGTGCGACTGGCCATTCAGGTATCACACAGGAAAGCAGATCAGCACATAGCTTTCCCGGGAGGTTTCGTTATTTGCAGGTCTACTACAGTGTTAAGTACTACAAACAATGTTTTCTAAGAAAGATAGATAAATATAAACCTTACACTTATTTACTAAAATAGTTTAATGAACTTTGTTTCTTAAAAATCAATCTTCCCACAACTGATAATGTAGACTCAGAATTGGAGTAACATCCTCACCTACGGCAAAACCCCTCAAATTGTACATTAAAAAATAATTTAAGGCCTTGGCCAGGTAGCTAAGTTGGTTAGAGCATTGTCCTGATACACCAAGGTTATGGGTTCAATCCCCAGTCAGGGCACATATGTCAACCAATGAAAGCATAAATAAGTGGAACAACAAATTGATCCCTCTCTGTCCCCCCTTCTTCTCTCTCTAAAATCAATAAAACCCAAAATTTAGGAAGTAGTGAAATTAACAAATCCAAGTCAGCACATGCCTCTTTATCTTCAAACGCCATCGACATAGCACAGTTTATACAAGAAACCTGTCTCCTTGGACACTCCTTGAGGATGTGAATATTAAGGTGGCACTTTTGGAAGGGACGCTGGCATTGGGGACAATTCATAAGAGCAAACTCACAATGTGCTTGATGATCCTATAATAAGGAGAAAATAATCGATTAGTATCTGCCAATTCTTAAGGTATCTCCTAAACAGAATCTGTTCTGAGTATACACTGTTCTCTCTCAAAACAGCCACTCCTTCACAAGGAGCTAAGTAAATGGGGCAATTTGCAAGTATGTTTTAAACATTTTTGAATAGATCATAAACAATATTTAATTTCTCATAAAACCGCCAAGCTAAAAACAAACTTATTTAAAAGGAATTCCTTTTACCTGACTGTTTCAGTCAATCTCAGGTTTTAGAAGGACTTCATCACTTAGTTCATAACGAAATGCACCGTTTAGGGAAAGAGGAAACAGCATGATAAGGGTGGTAAGATGGTAGCTACGCCACCCTTGCTGTTTTTTCCCAAACAAGAGAAATGAAGTTATGGGATTAACACATGACACCTACATTTAGCATGCTCTTCAGTTTTATAGCAAAATAATGTTCCCCCCCCCCAAATTTGAAGAATACTGATTTCTTTATCATCATTTGGCAGAGCCAGGGTAGCTGAAATAAGAAATTTATGGTTTCTACTTATATATATATATATATCTCCAATAATGAAAGGGCTGGCATCTTAGTAAGCGACTATTATATGCTAGGCACTGGCAATACGCAGATGGACACAGCAAAGTCTGTGTTCTCCAGGAACTGCCTCGTCTATATGCTAATGGCTGGAAAACGACTTTAGTACCTCAAGATGTCTCAGTTCCATCTTGTGCAAACAGCTTTCATTTGGACACTTCACCGTCAGAGAAAGGATCTCTCGTTTTGCAAAATTGTCAGGGAACAGTTGAGTTTCCAGGAGTATTTCATTATCAACTGGACATTTGTGACCTGCATCCCTAAGAGAAACAAGTAAGGCACATACATTTAGTAGATATAAACAAATATTAACATTAAAAAGTTCAAACACTTTAATTCACTGTGTATACATTCTCCTGTTTATTATTTCCTATGGAAAATAATTTAACACATTGTATTGTATAATATTCCGGGGGGGAGGGATACCTGTTCTTTTGTGGGCAGCCCACGAACTGTTCTTTTATACAATGAATACAACTGGTACCACGTTGGTTACCTAGCAGAAACAATGGGATTTTAGATCATGGGATAGATCTCAACCAAAAATGAGGAAAAATTAACTGCATCAGGTCAAATTTTGATTGTCGTAAAAAAAATGAAGTAAAAGGTAAGGACGGGGAGTGTGCAGCGGCTGCACAGCATGCTAGTGAGAGGAACTACACACGCTGCTCGTAACACCAGCAACGTGTCTACAGTGTGCCCCTCAAGCAGGAGCAGAAATTAAACCAGCTAGCAGCACCCCTACCAGACCACATTTTAAGGTTTGCTCTGAACAGTCACTGTTAACATTCTGGCTCATGAACAACAAGTTTTCCTTCATTTTTATGTCTAGGGTACAATCTTGTAGGGGATTAAAGGACCTCTATTTCCTGCTTTCCCAGTGATTTGGTGGTTATTTCATTTTATGATGAGAAAAATCATCCTCAGGAAGTTTGGGTGTCCGTTCACTTCCCTTTAACTTTTCGGGATGTCTCAATCTTCACTCTCAAAACGTGGCAGGTCAGGTTGGCTACAGGAGCACTGACCAGTCACTCGGACGTCAGCTGAACACCCGTGTGGGGGCCAGCAGTGGCGGTGATGCCGTAAGCAAAAAGGCACTGGAAATGGGGTCTGCTGGCAAATGCCTTAGAACCAACAGAGGTGAGAGGCACAGCCAGTCTCGAATGGGGCTTCTCTCAGGCTGATGTGGTGAGTACTCTGTCAAATACTTATAAGAAGCATGGAAAACTATAAACAAAGTTATTAAAATATACACCCAAAAGAAACTTATAAAGCAAATTGGAAAGCATTATCCAGAGCAAATGGAAGTAGATTAACGTGGCTTTGATTTCACGCAGGACTATTTGGGTGAGAAATTTCTAAGCCATTCCTTCAAGAACATTAGAGTCACATCACTGGTTACTTCCAGTTGAGAGGGAGAGAAAAAAAATAAGCCTCAGACTTCCTTTTGTGGGTTTTACTTCCTTTTCAGACCACTGTCCATTACTTTCATGAACACCTTGCTATTAAAAAACTGTTAAAAAATGAGCTGCATTCCTGGGCATGATGACACTTGGTAAAATACTGTACATCTCGCTACAAAAAAAAAAAAAAAAATCAACAATCCACACTATGGTACATACAACTTACTAAGACTGAATCATAAAGAATCAGAAAATCTGAACATACTGGTTACTTGTAAGGAGACTTTCAATCAGTAATCAAAAACCTTCCAACATGAAAAAGTGCATGAGCAGATGGCTTCACTGGTGAGTTCCACCCAACATTTAAAGAAGAATTAGTGCCCATCCTTCCTAAACTCTTTCAAAAAGTGGAAGAGGAAGGAATACTTCCAAATTCATTTTATGACTTGCATTACCCTGACACTAAAACCAGACAAGGACACAAGAAAGGAAGTCAGTTTAAAAGCTGACAGTGAGTAGCCAGTTTAACCTACTTACAAATGATTTCGGCAATATAAACCAGATGCTTATTTACTGAAGAACATAAAATCTTCCCACTTCTTCCAGTGTTTTCTGTTCTGTACAAAACTCCTTAGGCACCTAAAATAGTCCCATCTAATACTTTTGAATTATAGTAAAATGTCTTTATCTCATGGGAGATGAACTTGAATAATTTGTGAAAATTCCATGTACCTCCATTCGGTTACAGCAACCATGATTCACTGAGCACTTACTGTGTGTCAGCACACAGGAAATTCCCAGGAATTAAACAGACCTCCACCCATGCTCTCAAGGAGCTTATTTTCCACTTACGTAAGACAGACTGGGAGTGTGCAGACAGGGGAGGCGTGCTCTGGTGTAGAGAGAGTAGCCAGAGCTGCTATGAGAGGTGAGATCCGAGCCACAGTGCAGGGAGTAGAAGGTGTTTAGCTGGGCAGTTAACTGAAGTGAGCCTGTTCCAAACAGAGAAAACAACTAATGCCAGCCCCCTAAGGCAGGAGTGTGCTTGGCATGTTGAAGGAATGGCAAAGAGGGAACTGGCGGAAGGAAGAAGAGCACAGCAGAGGGAGGTCAGAGAGCAGATAGGGATCTATCACACAGGACCTAACGGGCACTTTGGCTTTTTCTTCTAGATGACCTGCTACAACGTTCTGAGCTGAGACAACATCACCTTACTTATTTAGCCAGGTTCACTCGGGCTGCTATATTGAGAACATTCTGGAAGCAGGCAAGGGTAGAATCAGGGAGGCCTGTGACAGAGCTGATGGTGATTCAGAACTGGGTAGGAGCAGTGAAGGCAGTGAGAAGTGACTGAATTTTGGATAAATATAAAGGTAGAGGCACTTATTAGTACTTTTAAAAAATCCTGGTTATTTTACAGTTGTCTACAGGTGTCAGATAACAGACAGACTTTAATGTGGTCGAAATCATAACAACTGATCAATTAAGTCAGCATTCTTTGGTTGAGATGATCATATTTAATATCATTTAAGGCAGATTTATATTATTTTCTTAAAGCACAGTGAACTTATCTACTTATTGCTTGTGTATCTTAGGGTTAGAGAAGGGCAGGAGATAGAAATTACTTCACACGACAGTAGAAACTAGGATAAGAATGTTGATGTCTCAAGTTTCTGTCCAGTGTCTTTTTCCCTGAGCAGCTTTTTACATGTAAGGCTACTCATTTTAGTTGTCCGGTGTTCTGTGTACCCTGTTCTCTGCATTTGGTTCTGTTACAGGACACACTTCTCTCTTCTGTCACGTACCTTATTGATTTGATGATGCAGGCTTTGCAGAACCTATGGCCGCAGGGTGTTTGCACTGCTTCCCGTAACGCCATCAGGCAGATGGGGCACTCGTACTTGCTTTCCAGGGGTGGGTCAAACTCCACGTCGTAGCCCTGGATCTCTTCCATGAAAGAGCTGGAAAGAGTCCCCGTGCTGGCAGCCCCACTCACACTGTCGTCTTTGGCCGCGGCACTGCAGGCACTGGCCATGGCTGCACAGCAGTCGCTCTCAGACTGGCTGGACACGCAGCTGTCTTCACAGTTTAACAGACTCATAGTAACGAGATTATCAATCGCTCTATGGAAACAGCAAGGAAAAAATGCCTTAACACATACATACGTGCACACACATACATATAGCACAGCTTATGCATGCAGGTCACTTTTTAGTTTATGTACATAAGCTGTGCTAATATTATTTATGGAAAACTTTCAAAGTTTTTTGAGCTTTACTTCATGACTACTATTTTATAATAAGTAAAGTAATTCAAATAGGTGGATAGAATAAAAAGTTAAAAGAAGAAATCAGCTCAATTGTAATACTTAGCTATATCACAATTATCTGTTTAAATGTCTGTTTCCTGTGACTGAAGTCAAGAATTTAATTTTCATATCCTCAGTACTCAGCACAAGATCTTTCACATAATAGATGTTCATTAAGCCTCTGCTGAAGACCTTACTTATGCTGCTGAAGTTCCTTTAGGTATTTTGAGCTCGAGAGAACAGGAGGACCAGCAGGCGGTGCAGGAAGAGCAACATACAAGGGATTAGATGACCACACTCAGCCAGGAGGTGTGCGATTTGGGGTGACCTAACCTTCTGGATCTTGGTTTCTTTTTTGAGACCTAAAAGCTGTGAGTACTTCCAAATGTTCAGACATTTCTGTTATGTAGAATGAATAAAATTGAAGAAGTATATTTGTATGTCCTTCTGCTTTCAGGCATGTCAAATGACCCTGTTTCATTATCTGACAGGAAAAAGAAGTGAGGTTTTGTCTGCCTATGGAAAGCAGTAGCTTTCATGGGTAGGTGGGATGCCTTCAAATTCTAAATCATATGACATTTTTGATAAGCTGATGTCTAAAAGCAATTCATAGCCTATGTCATCGGGTCTCTGTAGTAGATAATTAGACCTATGGGAAATTCTTAATATGTGCTAGATAGAAATAGTTCTAGAAACAGAATGTAAGCTTCCAGTCAATGTGGTAGGCCACCATCCCCCTAGTGGGTTACAAGAGTAATCCTCTATCTTTTCTCAAATCTCTATAGACACCTTTTTTTTTTCCCTTCTCAAGAAGATTTTTGAGTACCATCTGATGAGCACCAAAATGATGAGGCCTGTTCTGGCTGCAGAGGCAGTACGGCGAATTGGCGAACCCCAGAGAGGATCGAACGTGTCGCTATGTGAAAGCACTCAGAACTGTGTCTGGGAGGATGCATTCCTGTTGTGAGCAGCCCCATACAGCAATTTTGTGTTACAACTTCATTGCTGCCTCCCCCTCGTCAAAAATGGAAACTATAGTACTTAGGAAAGGCGCAGTCACGTGCCGAGGACCACCCGGGGAGTAAGCACCGGCTGGAATCAGAACCCAGGTCTGCTTGGCCCCAGAGCCCGTGCCCTTTGTACTGCACCACGTTTGGCTCTTTGTGTTTTGACAAACTTGTCCATAAGGCTGCTTTTAAAATTTCCTTCCCTTTATTTATGTTACGCTGGACCGTAAAAGGTTGTTACGCTGGATTTTCAACCTTTTTCATCTCATGGCATACATATACTAATTACAAAAATCCTGTGGCATGACCAAAAATGTTATAATTTGTGCCAATTTAACAAAAAGTAGGTATACTTTTGATTTATTCACACTGGATGGCTGTTCTCATTTTTTAATTTGACAATCTAAGGGAAAGAGCTCAGTGCCCATGACTGAATGGTCAGGTAGTACATGTTTGTTTGTTTTTTTAAATCTTCATCCAAGGGTATGTTTACTGATTTTAGAGAGATGAAGGGGGAGACAGAGAAAGAGAGGGAGAGAGGGAGGGTGGGAGAGAGGGAGAGAGAGATGGGGGGAGAGAGAGACAGACAGACAGACATCGATGTGAGAAACATCTATCTGTTGTCTTCCGTACACACCCTGTCCAGGGACTGAACCCGCAACCTAGGTATGCACCCGGACCGGGAATCGAACCTGCAACCTTTTGGTGTATGGGATGACAATTCAACCAACTGAGCCACCTGGCCAGGGTGCATGTTTTAAAAATTCCTGTGGCACACTGGTTGAAAATCACTGCACTAAGACTAATGCGCTGACCACAGATTCTTACTAAACATGACCTGCCCAAGCGTTATTGTACTAGTTGATAGGATTTCAAAGATGCTGTAGAGAAAAAGTGACATTTAAAAAAAATTTTTGATATACTACTTTTGGAAAGTTAAAAACAGCTGTCAAAGCCTTGTTACAGCTAGTGCGAATTCCTCAGGAAGACTCGGACAGACTGAGGGGAAGGAAGGGATGGCAAGGGAGGGGCAGACAGAACCAGTCATTCCACCATTCCACCTGGGCTCCAGGACGGGGGTGGGGTGGGAAGACCCCCTTTATACCCTCCAAATCTGAGGACATATGACACTGTTTTGCTGCCCTAGGGTTTCTGTCCTTTGTTCTTCTTCTTCCCTTACACATCTCTGTGTCCAATACTTCCTTGGGCAAATCTCCTAGAAGCAGAATTACTAGGTGAAAGGGGAGGCAACTTCCCCAGGTTTTTAACAGACAATGCTCGCTATCCAATATGTACTGAAGGCTTCTTAACTCCCACTCCCAAAAGCTTGAGAGAGACCATTTTATATGTCCTTGACAATTCTAGGTATATTTATCTTTTGGGTCTTTAACCATTCACTTTTTTTAAAAATAATCACTTTGAGAACTTGGTAGTTGTTATTTAGTTGTACAGAATATATCCAAGTACTAGTCAGAAGACAAAAGCAAGCTGCTGAGCTAAGTCTACTTTTCTGCCCAACTGTCCAGCTACAATTCGGTTCACTGGGTAGTCTATATACTGTCCTCTTGCAGTCTGGTCCCAGAGTTGAAGGTTGTTAGATTTAAAGAGACCTTTTATAGCAAATGTGTTACTAAGAAAACCTGTGTAATCAGTCACAATTTCTTAAAAAGAATTCCACTGTAGGAATGCAGTGTAGAACATGCAAGTGAGTGCTCTTAAAAATCTAGAGGGCTTAAATTTTTCACATTACTTCTCCTCCCTCCCTCCCTTTCTAGAGACAGGGGAAGGGAGGAAAATAGAAAGGGAGATAAACATCGATGTGAGAGAAAAACATTGATCGGTTGCTTCCTGTATGCACCCCTACCAGGGACCGAACCTGCAACCCAGGCATGTGGTCTGACTGGGAATCAACGTGGCGACTTTTCAGTTTGTGAGATGACGCATAACCAACTAAGCCACACTGGTCAGGGCTATTAAGGATTCTTTTTAACTTCAGATGGTGCCTCAGGTATCCACTTCAGGAGAGGCTACAAAAGTAGGTTTTGGCTTTACAGAAGCTGTGCAGGATGGATGACCCGGGTGGGGCCGTATTACAATAGCCTGAGTAGTCATTCCAGAGGAACTGTCCTGCGTGCCTTATGTTTCTTTATCTTCCAAACTGGACCAAACCACCAGCGCTCTGAGAAGTCAGTAAGAAGAAGCATATCCTGTTTGTAAGGACTGATGAAAATGGACTTTGCTGATGCTGATGACTGAATCAATAACCAATCAATGGAGTACAAATCTAGTCTTTTGCCTGATGACCAAGCATCAAGCCAATCTACACAGTACAGATCTAACCTTACCTCGTCCAGCACCAGCGGTCTCTTCTGTAATATAACTTGCTTCACTTTCCTCCTGTTCCCCAAGATCCCTGTGCTTTTCTCCTGTGCTGGGGGGCCCTTTTGGGCTTCTGCTCCCCAAATTGCAATTCTACAGAATCCCAAATAAATGCTTACACTGTCTCTCATTTTGACTTTCTATTTTTTTAGGTTAATGAAGCTAAAATAAGAAAGAATATATATTCTTTCCATAAAATTTCTTATAGCCTCTTTTTTTACTCTTAACATTCAGAATTTATGTGGTTTCTACAGGAATTAATAGAAGGGATGGAACAAAGTTTACATCATTCCTCACTTTGCAGATTAGGAGTTTCACGACCGCAATTCCCTTTTCTGCAGTTGTGAATTTAGTATAGTAAACACTGCCTTAATTAAATATTTTGGGGTGTAGCTATTACTAACTTAACTCTATTGCAAAAAGAATAAATGTTGAAAACAGCCCTGTCATAAATCACAGCTCAAATCCACCTATGTGTATCTAGGAATATACCGGGTCCAGCAGAAGCAACACCTGCTTAAATGTGGTTGGCAGGGCAATAATATGGAAGTAATAACCTATAGTTTTAACTTGAATATTTTACCTAAAATGTCATATGTTGTGTTCGAATGTGATATTGTTGTTAGAGAATTACATGCTTATGATTTTGTAAGAAAATCTTTTGTAATAAAAAGCGGCATCATTTGTGTTGGACCCTGTATTATAATCCAAAGGGTATTCTGTTAAATGTCTAGTGGGAGGGTGAGTAGGGTGATGTACAAACATTTGTTTCCCTAAGATCCACAAGTGCTAATGAGAGAAATGTCTTAAGCTAAAGAAATCAAAAAGTTCTATCTTGAATTGGTCAATTTTAAGCCAATGGAAAGTCATTCACAGCTAAACATGCAACTCACAAGTAAAACCATATAAAACAACCAGATTATGTATCATACAAATGTCCACTTGAAACCTATATAATCTTATTAACTAAGGCTACTCCAATAAATTTAATTAAATTTTTTAAAAGAACAAGAAATCACCTTTAAAATTTTCTGCTAGCTTTAGAAATGGGAACTACTTACTAACTCCTTAAAATCTATTTTTAAAATGCAAAGACCTGCAAATGCAATACTGCAAAAATAGTCCATTGTTATGCTTTATTTTTGAATAGATTTAAGGGGCAGTCCCCTTTCTAGGTACTATTTGTTTCCCCCAGGAGGCAAAGAGTTGAATAACTTCTTTCAAAATCCAAGTAGCAAAAATTTATCAGCATCATGGATTCAAATTTATCCCAGAAAAGACCTCCAGGTACAATCCTGCAATACAGTGAAGTATGCAGCGGTTGCAGGTTGAAACTCATCATCACTCCGGCAAGAAGTGCCTGAAATACATTCCTTCCTTGACTTCCAGAGGCCCCGCTGTCCTCATCCCACCCCCAGCCTCAAAGTCAGAAAAGCCCCTTTGACCCTCCTTAGTAATCTAATCACCAGGGAATGGATAAAACGCCAACACTCAGAATTTCTTAACAAGCTTTTCTGTCCCTGTGTCGCTAGATATTCAGTAATTTGTTCTCCGGAGAAACAAAAGCAGCATGCAAACACTTTACATGCAAGCTGCTAATAAAATACTTTAGGTGCTTTCTGTTCACATTCATGACAGTCCTACCTCTCAGTTCGAGTTCCGCTAAAGCCAAATACTAGGAACAGCTTTATCAACCCAGCGTCTGGAACAATCGCTAGAACTACGAGTGCAGGGGCGGGGGAGGAAAGATTCGTGTCATCTGAGCTTTTTTTTTTTTTTTTTTAACCTGCTGCCTGGGACCTCTAACGATTCAACGAGGAACCCAAAAATAGCTTTCCCATGACAGTGACAGAGGAAGCCGGAGAGAACTTAAAGGGATTTTTTTTTTTTTTTTTAAAGCCGGTATCAGCTTGGTGGGACGGGAAAATCCAGGAGGCAATTTCCTTTTCTGGGAAGGGGAACGTGCGGGCTGACGAAGTGGGCGCGGGATTCCCACCAGGGAAAGGTGTTAGAGGGGAAGGAGGTCCCCGCGGGCTTGGGGCGCAGAGGGGAGGGGAGAGGTGGAGGCGTCCACAACCTGTGGGAGGCGAAGAGACAGGAGCGACGTCCGCAACAAGAGGGAAACAAGAGGACGGGGGCCGCGCCCCCAACCTCTGGGAAGAACCAGGGACGGGGGCGAAGTCCCCAACCGGAGAGAAACAGAGGAAGGGGGCGTCCCCAACCTCCGGGAAGCGAAGGGACAAGGGGCGACGTCCCCAACCCGAGAAAAACGAGAGGAGAGGAGGCAGAGTCCCCAACCTCCGCGAATCAAAGGGACAGGGAGCGACGCCCCCAACCCGTGGGAAACTAGAGGGGAGCGGACTGTGTCCCCAACCTTTACGAAGCGAAGAAACACCGGGGAGAAGTCCCCAACCCGGAGGAACAGAGGGGAGAGGTGGCGGCGTCCGCAACCCGTGGGAAGAGAGGCCGCGGCCGCCCCGGTGCGGGGACATCCGAAGGAGACTCACCGCTCTGGTCCGCAGGGCCGCCGATTCCACGGAACCGCAGGACTCCGCTCAGCCAAAGCACCAGGAGAGGACGGGCACCGCGCTCCGAGCCGAGGCGGCCCGGATGCCAAACTCCCGGCCCGAAGGCCGCTGCTCCCGCGTCCCCGGGCCGCCCGAAGCCCGAACCCCAGCCCCGGTCGCCCTACTTCCGCCTTCTCTGCCAGCCCCGGGGAGTCAGGGGCGGGGAAAGGGCCGGGGTGGAGACAGAGAGGCCCAGCTGGGCCTCTGCGCCCCCTGGCGGCGGTCCTCCACAGGTGCGCGGGCTGCGGCGCAGGCGCAGTGCAAGTCCAGCTGTCAAACCAGAGCACTCCCGCTGGGCTTCTCTCCTAAAGGAAAACTATGACGTTGAAACCTGTCCCGGAGTAAGTGTGAGCGTCCTAGTGAGCAGCCACAACACAGCAGTAATCAAAACTGTGTTTTTATAGCTTCCTGCATCCAATCAGGAGAAACCCCCACCTGGGCTAGATCACTTGACCTTCGGGAATTCTTATTACCACTCTCGGGCTGCACCTTCCTTGCCAAGAAAGTTTCCTTGGTAGGCAGAACCCACTATTATCACCTGGTCCTTCCGCTTCAACCAGTCCGAGCGAGTCTAGCTCATATGTTAAACGTTCACCCCTCCCCCGAGGCTGCTATCGACTACACCACCCATTTTTTTCTATCAACGAGAAAGCTATTTTGAATTTCCCCCGTTTAACTGGATACAAACCTCTCAGGAATGTTACAGGCACTTTGCAGGAGATGCACGAAAGATTTCTACCCACCTCTGCAAATTTGACTCATCTTTCACCTCTTGGGGAAGTATTACAGGGTGGTGGTTTTTATGGGTACATACCCTGAAACCAGAGTGCTTCATTTAAATCTAGTTAAATCTAAGTTCCCCCTTTATAAATTGTGACTTCAGGTAATTTCCTTAATCTGCTTTTCTTCCATTTTTTTTCCATCTCATCTTACAATGGGGATAATAATAGAACTTATCTCTTTGGGTTGTTGGAAAGGTGAGATTAACTGGTAATGTAAATTCATTATTTACAACGATTAAGTACAGCAATTTTCAACCAGAGTGTTGGCAAGAATTTAAAAAAACACTCAACCCCTCATTATTTAGTCAGGGGCACTGACCTCTTTTCCTTTAGATTGTCAAATAAAAAAAATGACAATAGCTAACACATCAATAGCCATCCAGTGTGAATAAATAAAAATTATACCTATTTTTCTCAGACTGGCAAAAGATATAACATTTTTCGTGGGCCACGAATTTTAGTAATCAGTGTAAGTGTGCCATGAGATGAAAAAGTTTGAAAACCTCTGATCTAGGATACAGTGTGTTCTCAATAAGGATAGCAACACTGTATTTCCTGCTTTCTGGCCGCCAATATTCATAAAAAATGCTTATGTTCTCAAGATAAGAACCTGTCACTGGTTCTCAGACTCCCTCTACCCTCCCCCTCTTTTTTAAAAACATATTTCGAGCCCTGGCCAATGTGGTCAGTGGTTGGAGTGTGGTCCCATAACCAAAAGGTTGCAGGCGATTCCCAGTCAGGGCACATGCCTATGTTGTGAGTTCATCTCTGGTCATGGTGCCAGCATGTGTGATCCCTGGTTCTGACACATAGCATCCTGGTCCCAGCATGGATCCCTGCTCTGGGTGCCTATGGAGGCAAGCGATTGATGCTTCACTTGCATGGATGTTTCTCCTTCTCCCTTCCTCTCTCCCATTCTCTCTCTCTCTCTTTCTCTCCAAATGAAAATGTCCTTAGGTGAGGACAAAACAAGAATAAAAGTAAAGGCATACTTTGAAGTATTTCAGACATAAAAAGAATTGTACACACACATTTGTGTGCCCACCATCCAGCTCCAGAAATAAAACATTGCCAGCAGAATCGCCAGTCCCTGTGTGCTCCTATTCTTCCCCAGCTCCCCACCTGCCTTATAAAAATGAATCATTTAGAGGATGACAGAGCGATCGTTATATGAAATTGAAAGATGGAGAAATGGAAGAGCAAGGGAGTTAGACCTTCCTCCTCTTATTAGTATAAGCTCCGGAGCAAGTTATGTAACCCTCATGAGCTTTAGCTTCCTAAACCATAAACACGGGGATACTATTTACCTTCCCGGCTATTGTCAGGATCAACTCATAAAAATGTACGTGAGAGAACCTGGCACTGGGCTTTCAGAAACATTAGGTGTTCTGTGTCCTCAAGGGGCCTCCTTCTGCTCCTCCAAAATCCTATTTCTTCTTCACTATTTTATGTATGGAGGAGAGTTTTACTGCTCATCCATACCCTAGGCACACAGGACACTTTCACTTCCCAGTCTCCTTGCAGTTGGGCAGTGTCACATGACTAGTTTTGACCTACAGGCTACGAGGGAGAAGGATGCAAGTCGTTTCAGGGCCAAAGCATTTGATTTTCATTGCAAAACCTTCCCCATGTGGCAACCAAAGAGACCATGGGGAAGCTCGAAAAAGGTGCATCACTAAATTGCTGTGTGTGGGGCAGTTGCCTTGGAAAGTCAGTCCACTTGCATTGGACTTATATGAGCAGGACACAAATGTCTGTTTCTTTAAGACACTGAGATATTGGGGTGCTTTCGGCAGGATGACCTAGCCTGTCCTATGCACAGTTCCTCCTTGAGGTCGTTTCTAACAGCTTGTTTCCGTATTGGACTAGGAGTCAGAACACCGAAGTTTAACCCCTGGCTCTGCTTGTTACCTAAATTGGAACCTGGTCAGGTGTTTTTATCTGTAAAGTTGGAATAAAATCCACCCTGTCTTGTTGTCAGAGCTGTGATAAGTTCAAGTAAAATCATATATGTGGAAATGTTTTTCAAACTAGGAAGTCCTATACAGATGAAGGGAAGGGAATGTTTAGATTAGCGGGGTTACCGGGTGTGTAGAGCTGGCCAGGTTTCCTGAAATGCTGCTGGTTTCAGATATTTTGCTCAGCTGTCCTTATACAAGTGAGTCAAAGTGTACAAAAATGTTATCGCCATATCATTCCTGGATTGCTGTTTTTCACATTCTATTTGAATAATGAAATAAAATAGACCTTGTAGACTGCTGCAGGTGAGGATGGGCAGGTGAGAGATTCTTTTCCCAAACACTTAACAATAAGATAGCTACGTTATAAATAAAAGTTAAATTATAAAATCAAAACACAATTCATTGGTTCAAAACATTTATTGAACAACCCTTACGTGTGTGTGGCAGCCAGCCCTGAAGACGTATTTGTGCCCTGTGTGATCCCCTTGCACAATGAATGGGGTGTAAGCAGTAAGATGTGAAAATGACAGAATGTGACTTCCTAGGCTGAGCTGACTCTAGGCTTCCAAAGGAACCAAGTCAAGAATTCACAGCTGCTGAGGGAGACTTTCTTGGACAACAAGAGAGATCCCATAGGAAATACTCTAGGTGACTGCGTTTTATTTTATTCAGAAAACAAACTCAAGAGAAAGCATAGTTTTCTATCATTCCTTCCATCTACTTCTTTCTCCCTCCCCTCCCCCTTTCTTTCTCTCCCTCTCTTTCTCTCTTCCTTCCCTTCCCTTTTCCTTCCTTCCTTCCTTCCTTCCTTCTTTCCTTCCTTCCCTCTCTTTCCTTCCTTCCTCCCTCCCTCCCTTCCTTTCTTTTTCTTCCTTCCTTTCCTCTTCTTTCATCCTTTCCTTTTCCTTCCTTCCTTCCTTCCTTCCTTCCTTCCTTCCTTCCTTCCTTCCTTCCTTCTTTCTTTCTTTCTTTCTTTCTTTCTTTCTTTTTTCCTTCTTTTCTTTCTTCTTCATCTTAACACACTTCCATTTGTCTATGTACTCATAAATGATGTTTACATCTATTTTAGAGTTAAAATTCACAAGTAAGATGCTTTTCATGATGCATGTTATTGGATTGCTTTTGACTGGAAACTGATAGAAAGGGAATCTGATTGATTGAATTGGTTTGTCAATGAGGACTGGCTTTGCTAATTAGGTTATGTGCAGCTCCAAAGTTTTGTAAAAAAATATGTAAAGTATGTGTAAAATATATGATATAGTAGAATTAGATTCTTTGCAATTATTTGAGCTTATAAAAATTTAGATGCCAACCTAAAAATATGCAATGGAACATATCATTTTACAAGAGTACCTTAAAGTCAGAATCTTTCTCGCGCCAGAAATTGGGCGAGCAAGAAAGTAAATATAATAATCTTTGATAAAACTATAGACAAGAAAGACTCAGTTCATCAGAAGAGGAACTGGAGATGCTGGAGCCTAGAAAAAGGTCAGAGCGATCCAGGGTGGCATTCCGCGCACGCGATCTGCTTGGGGGAGGAAGTGCCCTTTGCCACTCTCCTCTTAGTTGCCCATTTCCAAAGGCAGGAGTTTTGGAGATGGCCTGATGTCATTAACCTTTGAGTGGTAAAAGCAAGTACCTATTCAATGAATTCATGCTTGCTAATAATGGCTAAACAAAGCCTGCCCTGCAAAAAAAGAGAAAACCACACAAAAGGATGTTACTCAATAGAGGACTCTGGCCTTGGCATAGGTTTCAAGTACAATAAGTTTTAGGGCTGCCCTCACCGTCTCTCCCTCCTTTTTCCCACCCGCTCCACCAAAATAGGGGAACCATCTCAGAGAGCAGAGGAGGGAGCAGTCGATGACCACTGGAGTGGCAGGGGCAGCCAGAGAAGGTGACTGAGGTGTGTAGACATGGGAGTGTGCACAGCAAGGGTCTCAGGGAGGGTTTAGGCAGCAATAACAGGCTTTGATGGTGCGCCCTTGGCTCAGTGCGCTGTCCAGGCTGAGAGCAGGCTGAGCCACCAGAAGTCAGAAGCTGAGTTTTGGAACCTGCCTTGGAATCGAGGGAAGTTCCTGGTGTTGCCCATGGTAATGAGTTTTCTTTGGTAAAGCCTGTCTACTAACAAGCAGTAAAAACATTTGCCCTGTCTTCTTCACCTTCTTCCCAAATCCCAATCGAGAACCCAAACTTTTTGTGGTACACCCATTTTTTCCTGCCCTTGGAGAAAGGAGAGGATGTTTTTCTTCTTCTTTTGGAAAAATGGGGAGTCTGGGCACATTTCCACTGCACTGGGGCCAGTTTTTTCATAGTTATACCACTGCTCCTCAAGCAAAGTTCAGTGGATAAGTTGACCCAACTTACTGCTTTCCTTGAAGGAAAGATTGTACCAGCATGGATGGAAGTATCTGATCTATTTGTGAGTTATATTTTTAATATAAATGAATTGCTTTTGTCTGATTTGTATACTTGTTTCCATCCACTTTCAAAGGCAGTTAGTGGACAGGCATACTGGGTGGATAATACCAGTTTTTAAATAAAGCCTTATGATGTCTCCTGGCACCTTCTCT